GTTTAGGGGGAAAAAAAAAATAAAATAATTTTTTTTTTTTAAAATAACCCTTTGTCCTGAAGCCTAAGGTTGGTTTCTTAATCGTTGTGTGGGGTGGGAAGAGAATAAAGCTATGCTGGAGCCTTGCCTCGATGCCGAGCGGTCCCGAGGACCTGCAAGAGAGGAGAGAGAGCGGTGATGGGGTCTGCCCCGGCTTTCTGGGATGCTCCCAGAGTTGTCCCCAAGCCCCTGTCCCCGCTCACCTGTGGTCACAGCGGCTCCTGACACGCGCTGGCCTCAAGGAGCAGCTCCTCCAGCTCCTGCTCGTTCTTGGAGCAGCTCAGCTCTGCAAGCAAACGGCCACCGTTTCCCTCGCCCACCTGCTTTCCCTGTTTCCCCCCCAACCTCCCAACACCAAAAAACGTGCGTGGGGGGGGCACGCGGCACATTAGCCTGACCGCTAACGAAGCAGCTTGACGAGCTTCCCACAGGGCACATTAACTTCAGCTCGCTCCGGGAGCCTAATTAAGAAGCGCTTCAAAGAACAAAGCTCTTAAGTGCAGGGAGATTTGCTTGGGGTTCAAACTCCCCCGGGAAAAGCCCCCCATGGGCATCCATCCTGTTGGGAAAGCAGCAGGGGATTTAGAGCCCTGGGAAGATGCTGGCACGGGGAACAGTTCTGCACTCATCCCGGGCTCCACCACGCTGCCCTGCAGCAATTTTGGGAAAGAGCGGTCAGAGGGGAGGCTTGGGACCCTCACGGATTGGGAGGTTTGGTTCTGGAGCTCTTACCATGCTCGGCGGCGCAGCTCCCCATCTTCCCGTCGCCATCCGAAGACACTTCCGGCAGCGCTCGTGCAAAATCCATCTTCAGGCCGTTGGGGAGGGGAGTGTCGTGGGCCATGCTCTCGCAGGCCGTGGGGTTGCCCCGCTCGGGGTCGGAGATGGTGGTTGGCGCTCCTGGCGGCGTTACCAAGCTGGTCTCAGATTCAGGAATCGCTCCGTTCAGCCAGGGTGCCGGGAGTTCAGGTTTTGTGGCCGGAGCTGGGCTCTGGGGCTCAGCGGGTTTCGCACTGGCATCCGTGTCCTCCTGTGGGCGTGCGGCATTGGTGGCTTGCTCCGGCAGGCTCTCCACTCGCGTCACCACGAAGATTTTATGGCCTCGCCCGGGACTGGAAACTGAAATCCTTCTCTCGTTTCCCTGGGAAGGTGCAGAGGCCGGAGAGGTGGCAGGACTCCCCGCGCTGGCGTCGCGCTGCGATTCCACAGCGATGTAAAGGGGGGGCAGCCGGTCCCTCGGCTTCTCCAGGGACAGCAGTGGCTGGGGTGCAGTAACACCATCGGCTGAGTCAGGGCATTTTGGTGTTTCGCTCAAGTCCTTTGTCTCTAACCCAGCGTCCACCTCCTCATCTGTGTCCGAATCGGAGTCCATCACATCGCCTCTGTCGTCATCGTCGTCCTCGGCCGGCTCCACGTCCCCGTTCTCCGAGGCAGTCGGGGTCTCCCTGGCTTCTTCTCCTGATTCTGGTGCAGAGGCGGTGCTGCTTATCCTCTGCCAAACCTTCCTCCAGAGGCTCCGTCACGGTGATCTCTGGCATCGAGGCCGACTGCTGCAGCTTCTGCTCCTTCTCTTCCTTCTCTTTGGCCAGGATGAAGTTGCGCTTGCAGCCGTTCTGGATCTCGGCCAGGAGAGCCTTCTGGGTTTCGATGAAACTTTTTACCTGCGAGGGAAGAGAAACCATCGGTCGCTTGGAACCTTCAGAAATCAGCTGTCTGGGAACAAGCGGCTCCATGTTTACTTTCCAGCCAGCCACGCTGTAACAGGGTGTTGTTTTTTTTTTTTCCTCCACGCCTGTAAGACACGGCTGATGTCTCCCCAAGAAAAAACTGACTCGAGCTCCCCAAGGGTTTCTTCTCAAAGTGATCACCGCCAGGATCGGGGGATTCCCATCCCAGGGGGTGCTCAATGCTCAATGGAGCGGGACACTGAGTGCTGGGTGCTGTCTGGGTCCTGCTTGGAGCAGGGGGTTGGACCGGAGACCTCCAGAAATCCCCCCTCGACCGGAGCTGCGGTGTCGGGGCACGTTCAGTGTCCCAGCGCAGGGCTGCCGGCTGGGAAGCAGCTGTTCCCTTACAGGCCAAACCAGGTGGCTGCAGGCTGGGCAAGAATTAAATTTCAGCTGAAAAATAGGAAAGCGGTGGAGCTGAGCGGAAGCCTGGAGGCCTCACCCTCGAGGATGGCGTTTTCCTGCTGGGGAGGGGGCTCAACGAGATCCCCCCAAAACGGCAAGAGAGGGGTGGGCGAGCAGACGTGTTACCTACCGACTCCTTCTTGGGTTCCCTGTCCAAGTCGAGGCGCAGCAGCGAGTGGTTGACCTTCAGAGCCAGCGACAACGCCATGAGGCCGCCCGTCTTGATCTCGTTCTCTCGCAGGTCCAGGCGAAGCAGCCGCGGGCTCTCTGCGATGAACTCGGCCACCGCCACAGCACCTGCAAGGGACAGGAGAACAAGCCGTGACATTGCCGGTCCCCTGACAGTGCTCCTCGGGGTGGCATCTAGCGGAGCTCCATATTTTGGGAGGGACGGGGGACATCAGCGGGAGTTGGGTGCCAGCTCCCAGGCACCCTGTGCACTCAGCAAAAAGATTTCCGTAGGGCGTAGAAGATGCCAGAGGCACCAAACCCACAGGACAAGGACCCATGGAACTGCGGCGTTTTGGTTAGAGCCGGGCCATGTCCCCCACAGAGACACCACAGAACCGAGCCAGACCAAGCCACCTTCTCAAGGAGCAAAGCAGACTCCGCGTGCTGCTCTAGAGCAAGGAAAACTCTGCAGGGCCCACCGAGCAGTCAGCAGGTGAGCCGTGAGCTGAACTGGGGCCGCGGTCGGCACAGCTGGCGGGCACCGGCCTCCACCCACCTTCACAGGTCAGTTTGGTGGATGCCAAGCCCAGGCGAAGGACGGAACGGTTCCCGATCAGCCCATTCTTCAGGTTGCGGACGCCTTCGTTCCCAATGGGGTTGTGGCCCAAGTTCAAGGTCTCCAGGCTCTGCGTGTGAGGCTGTGGGTACCCAGGGGAAAAACAGCTCAAGGCAGCCAGGACAGCGCGTCCGTCTCAAGCCCAAGCTGGGTTAATTCACGGCTGTTCCTCTAACCACACCGCCGAGCCCGGGGACGCCCAAGCAGCAGCGGAGGGGGACAAGGGATGGGTTCTTCTCTGATGCAGCACCAGGGACACATCACGCCGGCTCGTTCGGCCGGTACGCTCCCAGCGCTGCCTGGATCCGGCCCCAGCAGTGGCGGGAGAGATGTCTCCCCAGCAGCAAAGTCGAGCGCCCGGCGGTAAGCCGTTGCCCGCCCAGGAAGGTGCCGAGATCTACTCACCAGCGTCATCCCCAGATAAGCCATGCCGGTGTGAGTCAGTTGGTTGTTCCACAACACGAGAGTCACCAGCCCCTTCCGCTGCTCCTTCAGCCCTTCGCAGATGTACGCCAAACCTGGAGAAGAGCCGGGGGTCAGCCCACCTCTGCCAGCGTGGATCCTGCCAGCT